AAAAAAAAAAAAAAGAAAGAAAGAAGTGAATGTAACTGGCTCTCCCTACATTTTCTACCCCAAATGAGGTGACACCACAGCTCCTTTAAACTTGGGGTCAAATAAACAGACTTGGGGTCAGAGGGCAAGTCTCAGAACCTGAAAATATTACTTCATGAAAGAAAGCTGGAGCACCAGCCTGTCAAGAAGTCATGTACCCAGGCTGGGCATGGTGGCTCACACGTGTAATGCCCACACTCTGGGAGGCCAAGGCAGGTGGATTGCCTGAGCTTTTGAGTTCAAGACCAGCCTGAGTCAGAGAGAGACCCTCATCTCTAAAAATAGCTGGGTGTGTGGTGGGTGCCTATAGTCCTAGCTACTTGGGAGGCTGAGGCTAGAGAATCACTTACAGCCAAGAGTTTGAGGTTGCTGTGAGCTGTGATGCCACAATACTCTACTGAGGGTGACAAAGTGAGACTGTCTAAAAAAAAAAAAAAAGTCATGCAACCAAGTACCATGAATGAGCAAGTGAAAAAATTCTTATAATTTGAAACACAGAAAATCACATGAACCGCTCTTTCTGGCTACCACCAACAAAAAAAATATAAAGGAAGGCCTATGGCAAGATATCAAACCCAGCTTCAGGATTTTTTTTTTTTTTAAGACAGAGCTGCAAGCTATCACCCTGGGTAGAGTGCTGTAGCATCACAGCTCACAGCAACCTCCAACTCCTGGGCTCAAGCGATTCTCTTGCCTCCATCTCCCTGGTAGCTGGGATTACAGGTGCCTGCCACAATGCCCGGCTATTTGTTGGTTGCAACCGTCATTGTTGTTTGGCAGGCCTGGGCTGGATTTGAACTTGCCAGCTCAGGTATATGTGGCTGGCGCCTTAGCCGCTTGAGCCACAGTGCCAAGCCCCCAGCTTCAGGATTTTAAAGGAGAAACCACTTTTCTTCAGTTTTATTACAGCATTGAGTATAAAGTTGGGCCTCATATCCCACTCTTTACATGCAAATCCCATAAAAAATGAGCTGGCCCCACTCCAGGTACCCAGATCTCAAAAGAACTCTTTTTCCAGGGAAGCCCAGTTTCTCTTTATTGTTGTATCTAAAGGAAAGGGGAGAAAAGAGACTTAAGGAGTCTCTTCCCTCACTTTTTTTTTTTTTTGAGACAGAGCCTCAAGCCGTCCCCCTGGGTAGGGTGCCATGGCATTACAGCTCACAGCAACCTCCAACTCCTGGGCTCAAGCGAGTCTCCTGCCTCCCCAAGTAGCTGGGACCACAGGCGCCCGCCACCACGCCCGGCCATTTTTTGGTTGCAGCCATCATTGTTGTTTGGCGGGTCCGGGCTGGGGATTCGAACCCGCCACCTTAGGTGTACGTGGCTGGTGCCTTAGCTGGTTGAGCTATAGGCGCCGAGCCTTCCCTCACTTTTTTAAAAAAAAATTTTTGAGACAGTCGTACTCTGTTGCCCAGGCTATAGTGCCAAGGTATCATAGCTCACAGCAACCTCAACTTCTGGGTTCAGGCAATTCTTCTGTCTCAGCCTCCAAAGTAGCTGGAAATACAGGTACCTACTGCAACACCTAGCTAAATTTTCTATTTTTATTTATTTTTTGGAGACCAAGTCTCACTTTGCCCTTAGTAGGGCGCCGTGGCATCATAGCTCATAGCAACCTCAACCTCTTAGGCTCAAGCCATCCTCTTGCCTCAACCTCCCAAGTAGCTGGGACTACAGGCACCCGCCATAATTCCCGGCTATTTTTTTTAGAGAGGGGTTGCTCACTCTTGCTTAGGCTGGTCTCCAACTCTTCAGCTCTGGCAATCCACCTGCCTGGACTTCCCTGAGTGCTAGGATTACAGGCATGAGCCACTGCCCCTGGCATTCATTAACTTTCCTATTTTTAGTAGAGAGGAGGTCTCACTCTTGCTCAGGTTGGTCTCAAAACTCCTCAGCCTCCAGAGTGCTGGGATTATAGGCCTGAGTGATGCCGGGCCACTTTTTTTTCTTTTTTGGGGACAGTCTCACTTTGTCACCCTGGATAGAGTGCCGTGACGTCACAGCTCACAGCAACCTCCAGGTCCTGGGCTTAGGTGATTCTCTTGCCTCATCCTCCCAGGTAGCTGGGACTATAGGCGCCCATCACAACAGTCAGCTATCTTTTGTTGCAGTCTGGCCAGGGCCGGGTTCGAACCCACCTACTCACTGAGCCACAGGCGCCGCCCAGCCCGGGCACTTTCTGAAAATATTACTGATTAGAACACAAACTGTTCTATTTCCCTTCTTGCATTCCAACTATTAGCAATTTTTGTTCTTTTTGAGATAGTCTTACTTTGTCACTTTGGTTAGAGTGCCATGGCATCATTGTAACTTACAGCAACCTTAGAATTTCTTGGGCTTTAGCAATCCTCTTGCCTTAGCCTCCCAAGTAGCTGGGACTACAGGTGTCCACCATTATGCCCAGCTTGTTTTTCTATT